TTTCTGCTTTTTCATCTAAAAAAACTGCCAAAAGGCAGACATTTGGCATAGGTTGGAAGATCCAGGTACATCTTTTTAATATGGGTAGAGCATGGTCCCAAAAAACTACTTCAACTGGCGAGGAATACGGATGACATGCGCCTCCCAGTGCAAGTCCGGGGCAGGACCGACTCCCAGGGGCTGGGCATCACTGACTCTCAACCTTTTGGGAGTCTTGCCCCTGTTTGGACAACAACAGATGTTCATGGCTTCACCGACTTTCCCCTTGGCTGGCTCTCCCTCCCTCTCGGTCTCCAAGCCCTAGAGGATCAGTGACTCGGAAGGGCAGCTCGTAGTCCTCCACCAATGATCAATGGGTCGATTGAATACCACGGGCCGTATGGTCTAAGGGAGGTGAGGTGAAGCAAGGCCGGAGGGCCCCACAAATGCCAAATGTCAGTAACTAGACCTCCAAAAGGATCCGGAGATGACAACCAGTCTGGTAAATCAACTTTTGACTCATCAACTGTCTATGACATCCTTGAAGAAAAACACATCAACCTCTCTCTCTCTCTCTCTCGCGCTCTCTCTCTCTCTCTCCCTCTCTCTCTCCCTCTCTTCTTTCCGTCTTGCCCTCCTTGATCGAGGTCGCCGCATACTTCGGATCGGTGCCATAGGTCCGGAAGTTCTGCGAGGTCTCATACCTCTCGTGGACTCCGGCGAGATCACCGGGAGGATGTTGATTCCTATGGTCCTATAAGACAATAAGATGTTTTTTTTGCATGTACAAAGGAGATATTTGCATCTGATGTGGCATGTATATTGCCAGCCGCCGGGCCCTGTCGGGTCACCACTACTGCCACTGTCGGGAGACCTGTCGAGTCGGGTGATGGTATAGAGCGGGTGCCAACGTGTTTCCAGCAAAGAAGAGCTTGGTCAAGACAAACTAGCAGCCGCTAGCCGCGGGTCGCAGGCCTCTGGGTCGACCCATGCTTCAGTCGAATTTTGTGACACTCGCAGTCGCGAAGTCTTTTTGATTTGGATCACCCTGCAAGTGGAAGACTTTTCTTTACGGAAAGACTATGAAAAGGAACACGTCGTGCTGGAACGTTCGAGCGTCGAGTCAAAGAGCTCTCGCGGTGTCGACGTCCGACCCGATCGCCGTCTTTGTCGGGCGCACAGGCTGCCACTGGAGGGCAAGGAAGTGATGAGATACTGGAGCTCGGCACCGTTCTCCTGACACCGCGGCGGCTCGCTCGTCACAAGACATCAACTTCTGGAGATCAAAACATTCAGAGAATGAGATCTATGCAAGGATGATGTCATTGAGTCTATCGGGGAATTTTAATGAGCAACTCAAGCAACGCAAGCTCCTCATATCCAACGAGTGTGCAAACTGTTGCTTGACCTCAGCCAGAGCTTGCCATTGCAGCGGCATTGACCCATTGACCACTGTCACACCTCCCATTGAACACTGAAACTTTACGCCACCCAAAGGATACTTTATAGACCCCCCTGGAGATGTATTTGCCAGCCAATAACCACCCAAACTGGGTGGTGCTGTGGTGCTGGAGCTGAATTGTTACATGTCCTACTTCAAACGGAACAGGCTTTAACTTTTCACACCTCTGCATCTTGGCCTTTGATGGTCTTTGACTGGGTACAAGACGAAAACGAGGATGTCGTGCAGCGAGGAAAACAAATACCAGGAATCTTTAAGGCCCCAAAGGGGCTTGACTGACCATGTATCGACATTGATCATTGGATGATACTTGTTCACGTATCTGATCTATAACTCAAGCAGGGATTAAAACACCATGAATCACGTCTTAACTCCCGCCGCTGCAACAGCTAGAGTCTAGGCATAATAATTAACTGATGGTAAGCTCGGACTTGGAGATCGCTCACGGTTGAACGCTCAAGTCCCAGTTCGTCCACAATTTGCTGAGCACCGTGGCACTGTGGGTAAGGCTTTGCCCGCTTCAATGGGCAGGAAGATTCTATCAAAGAACAGGAGCCAATTTTCTGCGCACTTCCTTTGATGGAACAGACCTTGACCCAGCCACACCGAGATTGACGTGTGTGTAATACAATCAACATGATTGGCCGTAAAACCTCCACATGCATGTTTAAATCAATCTCTACAAGGCACATCAAGATTAAAAGTTATTCCCTCTGAAGAACCCTTTATATATATATATATATTGGATCATAGATGACTTCGTCTCTTTACCACACAACACAACTCAACACACCAAATCTGGCAGTCCGTCTATCTGCTCCTCACCCTCCAGGGCCGATGTTGTACTGGGTAGGCAAGCTAGCGTGACCATGAACACGAGCTGAACCCGTCCTAAACTGCCTGTGATACCACAAAACCAAGGTCAGCTAGCAGGATGAGAACAGAAAGATCTCCGTGGAAAAGAAATAAACGCGTCTCAAACAAGGTGGGCGAGTGGCCCAAACAAAACAGCAGCCAGGTGGGCCACAGTCTAATAACCCGGATGATACTAATTATTCACCTGAGCCACCTGTTCACCTGAGCCACCTGAGATTGCTGTCTGTTTCGAGTGAAACCCGTATATTATCTCCGAAATCTTCTCAACATTCAATAGGAGTCTCCATTCAATGTGGATGAAACTGGAATCTCAGCAAGCTCAGTAATTCAAGGTAGAAAAGGGGTATGATCAATCGGTTCAAGCAGAAACACATGCATTTCTGGAAATTAAGTATCAATGAATGGGTTTAGACTTCAGGGAAAATCTGCCGGAAAACAATGCTTTCTGGGGTGAAAACCATGGTTTCCTGTAGATTTTCCCTTGAACACATTCATTGAAAGTATCTGAAGGCAAAGGCAAAGGGCAACTTGAATCAATTTGTCGGTTACGGCGTCCTTGAATGTTGATCAGCTTGATGCCTCTGAAACACTCGCATGAGTTCAATTGGATAGGGAGCATGGTGCGTTGATTGACAATTGAAGCCTTCTGCAAAATACTTGGTATATCCGAATCCCAAAACGATGCGAACTTATGGCTCTATTCTGACTTAACGACTCCGTCTTTCAAACACCTTCTGCGGATGACTTTCATGTTCCTTATGAACCCCCGAAATCGAAGAAACCCACCAGCTGAGTTCTTTCTTTTGGGCGACATGTGCCCCAGCAGTGGGCTGGCCGCCTGTCCGAGGCGCGGCGGTGGCTTCCGGGCGCCCGCGCCCGCGGCCACCGGGCAGGCGGTATGCCGGGCCACCGGATTGCTGACGGGTGCAGCGGGACGGTGGAAGATCAAGGAGAAGCCATCCAACCCGAGCTGCAAATGTTTTTTTTGTCAGAAAAGGGACACCTTTCTTTGCAGGATTGGTATTATCCATCAATGTTGAATCGGAATTATGGAGGTAAGGGACCAGTAACAAAAACAAACATATATTATATGTGCTCATAAATAGATTGTATGGGATAGATATAATAGAACGAAAGAATGACATTGAGAATTGTTGTATTATCTCTCGTGATGACTGGGGCTGGTGAGCAATATACTCAAAGGACCATCTATGGACTATGGATAAAGAACTCTTGTTTTCTTTTGGGGGGGTCAACAGTGCGTGAATAGCACCCCAAGCAATTATGGGTCAACAGTGGCTGAGGGGGATTCAGGGAATGAAGGCTATAGGTGTTTCCGTCATCGGAACTCCTGTCGAACTGAAGCAGACAGATCAACCCAAACAAAAAGAAGAGCAGTACCTCTACCCTGCACAACAAAAAAGAGCCAAACATGTTTTGATATACTGTATGACTGTATGTCTTCACACATAGTTCGTTCTCCACACCAAACACCCAAGAGCTTCGCGTCTTTCGCGCCGAGTTTTTCTCCCCACAAGCCCACCGGACCGCCCGGTGGGAGTTGGGTGAAACTCCGATCTTTTTCCGCCAAAATCTTGTTTTTTGCAGTTCTGGCCACTTGGGCCACTTGGGATGCTTATTGTTTCTCCTGGAAACGTGGAATACCCCAGCCGGCACAAGAGTTGGGGGCTGGGAAGTCTAGCCATGACAAGTCGATGCTTGCATAGAACGCCAAACAACACCATCAACAAAAGAATACACCTGCAGGATCATCAAAGATCTACGTCTGGTTCCCCTGGTCCCACCTGGAATAGAGGATCGGAAAGATGTTGTCGATATCGGCCCCAACCCGCACCAGGGCACACGCCTTGGGGGGACGAGTTCGGACACTCCGACATGCGGAACGGACGGACGAGAGGAGGACGGGTTCAGTGGGCTTGGGCGAGGTTTCGGTGAAAGAAACGCGGAGGCCAAAGAGAGCTTGCCATGACGTTTCTCTATAGTTCTTCAGTACCTGACGGTGCCGTGCCGTTGCTGCCGAGAAGAAAACCTGGATCATCGAAGGGAACACATGAATGCCTTGTTTCTGGAAGAAGAAAGGCCGTGAAACGCGTCTTTTCCCAGCCCTGTTTCAGACCGGCCAAACTCCGGTGAAATCGACAGTCCAAGACATCGGCTGTGGATGAGCTGTGGATGAGCTGCTCTTTTACTCTTCTTTAAATTAAGAAAAATATGTAGCGTACCATATCTATACAACGTTGGCATATCCCTCATTGTCTGGAGAAACACAGACTAGTGAGCTGCTCAAATTGCAATGTCGCTGACCTGCACTTGGACGACCCCTTCACTGAGCCTCCAAGCCCAAAGTATCCGTAACATGGCGTCTATTCACCAGCCCCGTTTGGGGCCCCGTTGCTGTGAGCCAAGGGTAGCGATATTGCCCCCGACACAAACAGACTAATTAGTGTTTCAATGCTCCAGTCTATATACAGTTCATATATCATCTCAGAGTTGGTGTATTTGTGGGTGGATGACATGCTCTGGTCGCCCTGCCATCAGTCGTGTTTGAGTTGAATGATTTGGCCCAAATGCATCTGGTGCACGGCCATTCAATAACCAAACACGTGACACGTGTTCAGACTTCTGGAATACCTCCGCAATTGCGTCCACTCTCTTTTGAGTCTCACAGCTTCTTTTTTGGCGCGGTTTCTGCTGTGGCGCCACCGGGAGTGAACAGGTGGACCACGGTGCTCGAAATTTGATCCAAAGGGAATTCTCCAGCGATGAGGACTTCGGGAAAGCTGTGTCCTGCAAAAGGCCCGGCGGCCCATGCTGTGTGCGGGTACTACAAACAAAAGGGCGCTGTGTCCAGCGCTGGTGCAGAAAAAGAGTAGCAAGGTCCAGTTCGCCACTAGTAGCGATGCCCGGAGCTCCGTTCATAGGCGATTGCCCTTGGTTTCTCGCAGCGATTCCCGGAGTGCCAAGGACTGGAGAGTGAGTAGCTGCTGGTGAGGTCGAATGGCCTTCGCAGAAACCGAGTTCTCAAACGAGATCCCCCCAGTTGGTGCGACCTCGCCCATTTTTTTCGCCGAAGAGTCTGAAGACTTCAGACTTGGCTGGTGAGGAATCCAAGCTCTTCGACCAAAGCATGGAGGGTTGACATAATACCTCTATTTTGTCCACCAGGGTGCCAGGTCCAGGTGCCAGGTCCGGGTGCCAGGTCCCGCCACAGCCCGTTCGTTGGGCATGTTCCGACTGAAAGGGATCCCTGTGGTCCTGCCATCATCATGTCCTTCAAGTGGTAGCCTCCATCCCTCAGCTCTCTGGGCTGAAATCCTGAGCCGATTTCAGATTGAAAGCGGAGGAGGGCTGCCAATCCATGGCCTCCCAAAACCTGCCAGTTCAGCTGCCAGACCCACTGGGAAGATGCTCAAAACCAAATGATACATGAAATATCATGAAATTGTATGAAATTGTAATGTGTCATTGTGTCATAATCATTTTTTGAGCCATGCTCCATCTGAAAGGCTCGAAGTGTCACCAAACCAATCTCTTTAGGGCTTGGGGACCAACACCCCGCTCTTCCACTTCTTAATCCATTGGTCACGCCAGTAGCCTACAGGGCCCACAACAAAGCACCTAACAAATCCACAAGAACCAAACCCCAACGAATCGAACCTTTGCAAAGAGGGATTTCTTCCAACCTGAAAAGCACCGGTGTCACATCTCTGAGGGGTCAGGCTGAACCAACGAAGTGGAACGAAGAAAACACTCCCTGAAATCAAATAAGAAACGGCCTGCCAAAGACTTTGGAAGATGATCTTGCTACACTCCCTGAAAACCCCGACGGACTTGGATGGCACCCACTGTTTGGTTCGGAACATATGGTGCTTTCGGAGCACAAATCCTTTACCCACCTCTCCGCACCAAAAGAGTTGCTCCTACTAGACCGTGTTTCATTGAAGTCACTTCTTCGAGAAGTCACTCCTTTTCCACAGGATCCTCTTCACTTGGATCTTTTAGATTGAGGAAAACAGTATCGTCAGTGGTTCACCAGTCTCCCGGATCTCAAAGACGATCATCTGAAACCACCCGACGAGAACATCCGCTGAAGGATGATATTGCTTCCTTTCTTCCGGCTCCGATGAGAGCGGCTCCGTGGAGCCAAGAACAACCCAAACCTCATCGCGACCTTCCGAAGTGCGACGTTCGCGTTCCGTCCGACGTCCGCGGCTCAACAGGCTCCGCCTGCTTGGGAGAGGTCTTGAACTGTAAATCCCATGGCTCGAAGTTGCCGGGCACCCAGAGTGAGAAGCTCCTGCAGTAGGGCTCCGTTGGAGACAGTCTCAGTCTGAGACCCATTGCATCTGCAAGGTACAAAATAGATGCCACCATTGGCTCTGAACCACCCCAATGTATGCAAATATTTGCCATAACATGCAGTGACGAGTGTCTCGGTCATAGTGGCTTTGTGTCTCTTTGACATGTTGGGGCTAAGAGGAGTCCTTCATGACCTGACAACACCGAGCCCTGAGGAATGAGGCCCCACTGTAAAAGTACTTGTATCAATTCTAACATCAGTCTGAGCCTTGACCATCAAGTTTGGCCTTGAAGATCAAAAAGAAAGGCATCCACAACAAAATTGAACAGCCCATATGGTGCCCTCAAGGTTTTCACCTCACGGCATGATTTGAGCTCCACTCCTTTGCTGTGAACCCAGCATCTTTCCTCAGCTTCGAGCCGCTGCCGAATCAACATTTATGGATATGCTAGTGCACACACCCACACGCAACTTTGCTGACATCCGTGACATCCATGTGAGGTTTGCCTCGGCGGTCAATTTGATGGCAAGTGAATCTCCTCTATTTTGACGTTAAACAAAGTCCTTAATCAATTCCTTGGTACTCACTCCTTGAAGCGCTTCTGTTTTGCATCGCCATCACGTGTACAAATCTTGGGACTTCCTGCAACAGTCCTCTGGATGGCCAAAGGTGCAAGGCCTCTTGCTGCACTGACGACGCGTGCGAATGACCCTTTACTGAGACCCACAAGGGGTGGTTAACGGACACCCCCTAACCGCCCTAACCTCTGAAGTGGCTATCAATAGACACCCCTTAGGGTGTCCTGGTACTGGGATCGGTTTGTTCAGACCTACACATCGGACTCCCAAGTTCAGCCAACCGACACAGCCCCCCCACTTACGGTAAAGCGGCGAACTACACCGGTGATCTCGCGCAAGTTCGGTGCGTCTCCGGTGGCAGGCCCTTCCCAAGTAATCTCGAGGGCTCGCCACCCAGCATCGCCAAGCATCAGCTCTTCTGGTGTCCATCCAGCCTCTACCAGCTCGGTCGCCCTAAAGCTACAGCCTCGTAGGTCAGCTGCCTAGCGCGCAAGGACTCCCCAACAAGTCCAAAGGAGTGGGTTTGATGATGTTTGATGAGCGAGCTGTAGCTGTGAGCTCTGTGGCCCCGGCATCTTGGTCACTCCCTATACCCTGAGAAGTTGATCGACGGTCAACCCTTCACAGGGAGTACCAATGTTGAAAACTTCATGGCTGACCAATGTTGCTTGATTTACCATCACATCCATCCGAGTTTCATCCTAACTCAAAGAATGGACTCAGCAGAACTGCTGCTTTTGGGTGGCCGTTCCAAAACTGTTGGTGTTCCAAACGAATCTCCGCCGTCCACTTCTCAACTAGCTGAATATGCATGCAATTGCATGCAGCATAGCCAGGGTTCCTTCATGTTACAACGCCTGGCGTGATGACCCTACCTCCCTGTCTTCGCGGCCAGGTAATGACGAACACTCTTCATAGCTACAGGAGGCTCCACATTCGTATCGACAGAAATCGACAGAAGCCTGTGCCGACTCAACGACGTCACCGGTCACTTGGCCTGGTAGCCCAGGGACCTCAACACGTCAGCGCCACAACCCAGATCCTGAGATGCTTTTGGGTGAACGGAAACTCTGTGGCAGCTTGCAGCCAATCTTTTTCCGCAGGAATTTGGCGGAAAGAGCCCTGTAGAAGGGGAAGGAACGAGTGAGGCTCTGAGGCGCGTTTGATTTTGTACTTTTGTGGTTGCTTTAGTGGGCCAACCTCCACTTCTAAACTAATGAGCCTACTCAGGGATGGTAGATCAAGCTGTGATACACTAATATGGACATATATGGACATGAGTAAACGTCAACTGTGGCCTGCCGAAAAATACAGTGATCATTACATAGTAGATCATAGTAGGATATCGGGATATCCTTGTTCTGTGGTTTCAAATTGATTTCTTCCTTTTGGTGGAAGACGCGTCGCGTGGCACATCGGGGTGACGCTGGTTCTACGTCTGTGTCATCCGTTCTGTCTGGTCCGAACACAACCAGGTGATTGGATTCGCGGCTAGTGGGTGATCAACATATATATATATATATCATGAAAGCAAGCCCTGAAAGCCCAACAAAATGTCCAAGACCCATCTTCTCTCTGCCCCCCTGCAATCTCCTGGAATTCTGGTGCTGTGCAGCCAGCTTCTTTCAGGTCGGCTTTGGAATAGCCTCTGGCAAAAGGGCTGGTCAAAATGTGCTGTTCAGATATCAAAGATCAGGGGATATCAGGGGAGAGTGAGCTGAGTGTATCAAAAAGGAAACAAATGAACAAACAAATAGTAGCCTTGCAAAACAAAGACAAAGCACACTCTCTGCAAATGGGCAAATTATGAACGGGCTTCATACTTTTCCCAACCTTTCATCAAATGCTCGAAACACACGTTTCCTGCATGTAGCTGATCAACCTGTTTAATTAGCAACTGGCAACCGCTCCCAATGAATCTCCAGCTCACCGTGGCATTCGCCCCGCATGGCGGCTGACTCTTCAATCTGCGATTGCCGTCCCCCAAATCGGTCGCTCACGCACCCAAGAGTGCTCGCTTGGCAGGATGCACAAGTCCACGATTCTCCTCCAAAGCCTTGAGCATGGCACTTTGACTCTTCTCACTGGCTTTGATATCATCGCGGTTGGCCAACTTCCTCAAAGCTTCGGACATGCCAACCTTGTCAGCCTTCGCTAAGACCGTCGCCTGCAGCTCCACCTCCTCACCCTTGAGCGCCTTGGCTTTCACCACCTTTGCCGCTCCATCTGCCCTTGGGCGGCCACGCGCGCGTTTTGGGGCATCGGCTGCAGCCTTTGTCTTGGCTTCCTTTTCCATTGCCTTGGACTCCTTGGCCTCCGACAAACGCGGCTTCTTTGCTGCCGGCTCTTCAGCACCTTCACGCGGCACGGGCACGTAGGACTTCATGGCTTCGTCATAGGCTTCCTTCTTGGCCTTGTATTCATCCTCATAGATCGTCTTCTCTTCTGCACTCAGCGCACTCCACTTGGCAGATGCCAGCTTGGTCACTGCGGTGATTGGTTGACCAGCGGTCTCCTTTTGGAAAGCCGCGCGGTGCTTGGCCAGGAAGCAACCATAAGCGCCTCCAGCAGGGCGCTTCGGGGCATCTGGGTCTTTCTTCTTCTTGCCATCCTTCTTGCCCTTAGCTTTGCGCTGCTTCTTCTCGCCTCCGGCTTCCTCGAATGCCTTCAGGTCCGCTTCATACTTGGCCTTGGCAGTCACGTACTTCTCCTGATAGATGGCTCGCTCTTCTTCACTCAAAGCCTTGAACTTGGCCGAGGCCAGCTTCGTAATCTCCGTCACAGGCTTTCCTTGAAGCTCCTTCTGTAGCTCCGAGCGCTTCTCAGCTAAGAACTGTCCAAAAGCACCACCTGCAACCTTCTTTGGCTCGACCAAGGCCATGTCAAATGCGAGGAGTACGGGGAATCCGGTGGAAGAAAAAATGGCTCAAAGGCTTGAGTCTGTGATTTACCGCGAACACAAAACAAAGCTGGCACTTCGTCCACCTATATAGGAATTCAAAGCAACATATCATATGAGGTATAGAAACGTTGAGATTTCTAGGATTTCCTATACAGTTGGTTCTACTGCAGTGTAATGGTAATGTATCAACTTGTACCAACCGAAGAGCGCTGAAACAAAGCACTGGCTGTCCGTGCTGAGGCCATGGCCCAGGCTGATGAGCTCTTGTGCGGGGAAGCCAGCCTCATAGAGGCCTGGCCATTCGTGCTTTCAGGCGTTTGGAGAGTCTAAAGGAGGCGCTGAGGAAAGACAAACTTTTGAAGGTAGCAGAACATGGTGTAAAGAGTTATATGTACTTGTTACTGTACTTATTGGTATCAGTGGGGTGGTCACCGACCTTTTCAGCTCCAGTATGCCGCAGAAAAAAGGGGCACACATGACCGGAGAAGACGTCTGAGTGTCGCATCAGTGTGTGCATTCTCGCGGGAGGGGTGGTGATAGATAGCTTCGTGTCTACCTCAGGTCATCTATCCAGCCGCTCAAACGCAACAAAATAGACCTCCCACCTAAGGAGGTAGGTGGGGTGAACTACCCCCTACCAGATTAATTATGTATTTATTTTTTCATCCGGTACTCCAATTATTGAATCCAACCCTGCTCGAGTGCTGGGTTCTGAAATTCAAGCCTAATAGTATAATCAGAGGGGTTTGAGCATTAACCAGAAACGATCAACAATCAGTGAGAAATGGAGTAAACAATCAAGAGGGCCTTGACCTAATCATCCGCACTATTTTGAGTCATGAAAATATATGAATGAACATTGTGTTTGGAAAGGGTGGTTCACTACTTACATATCCCTGGATCTACTTCACGTATTTGTTCTTTCCTCTCTCCCTCTCACTCTGTCTCTCTTAGCCAATCCCCATCCCTTTTGAAACTCACAGCACTCTTGTTGCTGTTTTCTTAGGTCATTTCGTAGAGCCGGCACACAACAACGCCCAGCAAGTTCAGATTCAATCCACAAAAACATGAAATTAATCAACAGGTAGTCAAGTTCTCTAAAATCTTTTGAGTTCTTTTCTCCACACTTTGCTTCCCCACACCCCTTTGCATCATGAATCTGCCTCGAGGTGAGTCAATTAATCTTACAACATTTTCTGAGTGATGTTGTATAACTTCTCATCATCAAGACAATTTAAGTAGACCCTTGGATTCAATACCTTGGGTAGGGTAGATCGGAACAAAAAGACACATCGCTAAAAATGGTGCACGAGATCCTTATGACCTACCATAGACATAGCCAAAGTGGATTCACCAACCACTCAACCCATCTCTCCTGTCCCCTCTGACTCTGGCCGGCACGAACACGAGCCCCACCTTTCAGCGGAACGTGGTGCACCAACGCAGCGGCGGAGACACCCACGGCGCGCAAGACTCTGGGCTGGTGACCCAAGCTGAGAAGCTCGGGCAAGCCATAGCCAGCCTCCTGCGATGGGTTGGATGGCTGGCTGGCTGGCTGGTTGGTTGGTTGGTTGGTTGGTGAGCTTGGCTCTCAACCACAACTGCTTGCATAAACATATAGTCTCATACAAGGATAAGGTTATCATAGGTTATCATTATCTACTTGTGGGACTGCAGGTCTAAGCATGGTCTAAGAATAAGAAACTTTCCCATTCTCTGATGGTGAGTTTGCTTTGTTTCTGGTGGAGAGGTGGTCCAAAAAAAGATTTGATTGAGTGCTACACACTTATCCAGACACTGGGAGAAGATAAAACTCAGTGGAGCAAGAATTCTGAGGTCTAGCAGTATAGCCGCTTGGCTTAGCCCTGCTGCAGCCTGGCTCTGACATTTCACTACTGGCATGGACATGGAACATGGACCATTTTCCGCCGTCTTGGGGCCAGAACCATGTCATGGTGGCCGTTTTCGACTGTGGGTCATTAAAAAAACCAGCCGACCACTAGGAGCTCCCACCAACTGGGTGGTCCATTCTGTTCATTCTGAGTGCCTCTGCCGTTCCGCTGGCGCACCCGGCGGAACGTGCGGTCCTGAAGGATCCTCACCACCGCCGACTCACCTGGCGCCCATGAAGGGCAGCGGGACCCCAGTGCGGAGGCCGTCAAGCAAAAGGTTTTTGGAATCCCAAAAGCAAAGCTTTTTCGTGTTAGAGGTGGTCAATTGCATTCATTGATGGTTTTGTCTAGAGTCTAGTGCCCTTTCTGTTTTGTCTGGTGGTTACAGCAAATTCACCGACTGAGTGGATGAGGCTTGAGGAGTTCCACAACCAATTGAAACGAACAAGCTCCATTGTAAAGAACGGATTTCCACCATTTCCGGGAGCCGTGAGACATGGTGAGATGTGTTAGATGTTTGTTTCATGTTATATGATGTATAGCCCAGTGCATCCCAGGCAAACCACGTACTATAAGGAACCAGGGATTCTAGGTCAGTGGTTTTAGTCTTTGGAACCACTGGTTACCAGCTATAGTGGTAACTGGATGCCCTGGGTAGACTATAGACAAAAGTGTAAAGCATCCAACTCTCAGTGCTCGAGTCCCCAACCATGGGCATCCATAAACCGTTGGTGCCGACTGGAGCCAAACACTTGAGGTCCTTTGCCCATGAGACACTGGGTTTTCCCATCACCCGAACCGCATGACCCCTTTTCCAGCGAAAGGGTGCATCATTGCTTTCAAAGACCCACATCTTTCTAGACGTCCTTGAGACTTGCAATGTCTTAGTGCCACAGTACGACTACACTTCACTAGACTCTTCTCTGTCAAAGCGCCAAAAGCAAGCTCCCCAGATGATTTGTCACTCCATCGCGGACGGCGCACGTCATGGCCTTGAGCTTCATCTTCCAAGGCAAATGGCATCAGCACGTCATGGATGGTTTTTTTGAGGTCTGTTGCTTCCGGATGAGAAAAAACGAGTCTCCCAGAAGGAGTCAAAGCACATTGGATGTCTGTCAAACAAAGGTCTGTTGCTTCTGGATGTCTCAATCGCTCACATTCCCGCAGCATGGAAAAAAAAAAAAAAAAACAATATATTCTGAGTCTCTGTGGTTGATGATGGGCCACGGACTTGCAGTTTGTGGGCCAGATTTCCCGTCGTTGATCCCTTCCAAAAGGAGGGTTGCTGGTGTTTGGCAGGTTCTCCAGGACTTCCTGTTTTGAGTGGAACATGAAGACCCCTGATCTTCCTTCTTTGAGTGGAACTTCTGATGCTTCCTTCACTCAGACATCACCTGGGAGGGGGCCTAGACTCGATGCCAATGCTCACATTTCTCCGGGATGAGCTGTGTAGCATGCAGCTCTCGGTTTCAATCCGAGGAGAGCAGCTTCCATTGGGCTGGCTGCGCTGTGTCCGGGGGGACGAAGCAGTCTCCGATGCTGCAAACAGTCACGGCTCAATCATTGAATGCTTCATTTGATGGGATGAATGATGGCCAGCGAAAACAAAGGACTCACAACAGCGGCTCCTGAAGAAGGACAGTTTTGCCTATTGAACATTGAGAAGACTGAGACAGAAGACAACTTTTGATATCTTGAGTGTGTTCACTCTTGTCTTGCGATGTATTGAGAAGCTGCGCAGTCTCACCTCGGTTCTGCAAATCTGTTCAACGAGCTGAGGCTTTGAAATTCACAAAAAAAAGAAAAACAACACAACATATGGATTTACCGTACCAATGTTTGGTGCATGGACATATTACCTTATAGAGCGGAACCAAAACCATCGGATGATGCGTCATGTTGCAGCAAACAGGTAATTTGGCGAGCAAAAGATACTTGTCCCAAAATCTGCCCACCAAATGTTAAAACATGTTAAAACGTGCGGTCACAAAGACCTCTTCAGAATGGTATTTCTCACCAATTACCATCCAACGGCACCCAAGGCCCGCTGTCCTTTTTGGGCATTCAAGGTCAACTACACAAGACTACAAAATGGCCTGTGCAGCGACGATACAGTGACAGACTTACGATTTAGGCTGTCCCTGAAGCAATTCAAACACAAATGGAAAAACTTTTCGGTTGATAAACTCGGGTCTGCCAAACACAACTGGAAGGCAATTTGATGGTTCTCTCACAAAAAACTGCACATCTGGATGGCCATATACTTGGTGCCCATATGAGTGTGTACTAAAATAGGGAGACCCCCCCAAAGACCATCTTTAAGAAGGGAAAAAACAACATAAAACATTGGTTAGGGGTCTTCCTATAAAAATACACACCCATATGATCAAAGTGAGCATCAGTTCATTTGATTAAATATATTTGCAGGGACAGCTTCTCAGCTACCGCCGTTCATAAGCCCAGACAACATCTCCTGGGAGTCTTTGGACTTCGATGGGTGATGAATTCGGTGTATGGGTGAAAGACTCGTGCACAACTTGGTTGACAAAAACTGAACGTGTGCATAGTATAGACTACGGTGTGGACTAGGGCTTTCCGAAAGTGGTTTGAAGAAGTTCTAGAAAACCTAGAGCACACCAGAAAACCACTACTGCACATTTTTCCAAGAACAGGAAAACTCAGATTTGTGGACCAGGCAAAGAACAAAAACAAAAGATAGGAAACCACAAACCACTTGTGGGGCTCAGTTGGAATCATCTGACGTCGGACCAGCAAGTGGTGGGGCAGATAGGGTCCTTCGATTGAGGGTCCTGCGTCACACACACACAACACAAATCACACACAAACACACAGACACACACTTAGATAAGGTTACATGCAATATCAGAATCCACGAAGAAAGGGATGAGGGAAACGCACGGCGGCTGGGTCAGCAAAACACTTGGAGTGATTGAACATCTGTTTCCAAAAGGCCCGCAACTCTCGGCAGTGGTTCAGCTGCAGTCCGCTGGGAAAAGGGTTTTGGTGAATATGAAAAAACCATGAAAGCAAACCACAGCGGTGGAGATTGGAGTGTTGTCATCAGCAGGTACACAGGGATGATCAGTCCCTGCATCTTGGTCATCTGCATAGAGCTTCGTTGGCGACAGATATGCAGTGACCCTGTCGCCCCCCTGCTTGCCTTGGAGAGAGAGAGGTTGAACATAAGCCCGTGGGAAAAGGAGACTGAGAAAAAAACCTTGGATACCGGGTGTGACACACACACGCACACTTGGGAAATGCATACTGACATGACTAGTGGTTTGCCACACGCCAGCCTAAGTAAATAAACACCCAAGAGACCAGGTACAAGGCCGTCGCACCTAGGTGGGAAGACCACGTAGCGGGTTGGAGGCCATCGTCAGTAGGTTGGCTGCATGCAAAAAAAACAGCGGTAAGAACTCACACCGCAGCTTGATTTAACGGAAAGTCTAGGTCGGAGGACATTGCATTAAGGTCGGAGGCCATCGCAAAATGGTTGGAGGGCATCACAACGGGTTGGAGGCCATCGGAAGTAGGTACTCTCCAAGGGTTCCACACACACTACTTGCAGGTACACCAGGTTGATCAGACCTGGCTTCCACCAGCACTCATAGCTTCGTTGGCATGCGTTTGCGTGATGGCCGCATGCCCCCCTGCAAGTCACCACAAAGTTTGCCGTGACTCCAAGGGTTCCACACACACGCTCCCCGTAAAAGGGAGGCAACAGGCAACAGTAAAAACTATGGTTCAAGCAAGTGTGCGGGTATGCCCTCAAAACAGACAAAAGGATGACGACATGAAAGGAGGACAAAGCAGACCGAGTGTATGTTCTTGCTGCAATGGAAGGTAACCAAGTGACCAGGGACAACCGATGAACCAAGCCTCCTTATAACAAACAACCTGGGCCACCTCAAACCTGGGTTTCAAGTACAAGTGCGCATGTACACTTAAGGGCCGGACCGATGTATGAGCAAGAGAGGAAAGAATGAGACGCCAAGACATGAAGACAGAAAGGCATGAAGCGAAAAAAAGGAAAAACACGTGTGTAAAGGGGAAAGGATGAAAGGGGCACCAAATGGAAGGATCGGAAAAAAAGCCACCAAACCTCATTAAGAAAACCTGGGCAGACCTAACCTGGTTTGGTATGCGCACTTAAGGGCAGGACAGACCCCAGTGGGTCTTGAGTAAGCTTTGGCCGCTGCGGCTGACTCATGCCATGCCAAAATGGCGGGCTACTCTAGTCCGCTATCGACACCTGCAAGACCATGCATGGCACTTCTCGGGCTCACCCGGGGCTGGCACGAGCCAGACACACTTGGCAAACGCATGCGGAAATCATTAGCGGTTTGCCACATGCCATCCTAAGTAAATAAACACCTAAGAGGTTGGAGGCCAATCACATCTTTTATATAGGTTGGAGGCCGTCGCATATAGGTGGGAAGCCTACGAAACGGGTTGGAGGCCATCGTTGTAGTAGGTTGGCTGCATGCCAAAAAAACAGCGGTAAGAACTCACACAGCAGCTTGATTTAACGGAAAGTCTAGGTTGGAGGCCATCGCAAAATGGTTGGAGGGCATCACAACGGGTTGGAGGCCATCGCTAGTAGGTAATCTCCAAGGGTTCCACACACACTCTGACAATTGTATTCAGTTAACTCAGTTCCCCAAGGAAAGGAATGGCTCAACGGAATGGCGAAAGGTCCGAGCAAGTTGAAGGTGTTTTAACAAAAGTTGACGCGTGACTGCAGAAAACTAGTTACTGAATACTTAGCAGACCTAGGAAAGGAAAGAGTGAACCGAAAGGCGAAAAGTCCGGGTACTTGAAGGTGTTTTAACAAAGGTTGACGC